TTTTCTTTCTCCCTCTTGCTCCCAGATGTAGAACCATGTGGTAATTATGTTCCCACAGGGGGAATGTTGGTTTCCCTGGTTCACTGACAATTGAACTCTATTCTCACTTTCCAACACACGGTGCTTGCACGTGTCTTCCAAAACCACCTATGAAGCAAGTCACGCTTTCTCTTTGATTGTTCAAATGCAGCACAAGGCTTACTTGAGCTCGACCTTTGTAACAATGCTTACACTTACCTACCCTAACTTCTGGATCAAGAAAACTGAAAATGGACATCCCAAAACCATGTTTAAATCTTCCAAGTAAGTACAAATTTTCCTTTGGTTGTTCCAACTCTCTGCAAGGCTGATTTGAGTGTGACCATTAATCTAATGATTATACTTACTTATCTTAACTCTTGAACCAAAAAGAAAATGGACATACCCAAGAGACATTGACAACTTTGTTTCTCTATGGTCAACAGAAAATGAATAAACAGTTCATAGCAAAAACTTTTTGTATGCTTTTTCATTAATTATTTACACATGGATGTATAATACACACAAACACTGCAACCATTTAAATTCCGTACCAGCCACACAAGCACCAATGAAAAGGATAGATTTTTTTTCTTTTTTTTTGTATATAGGAACATAGAGAAAAAGATAGAGAAAAAAATGTATAGCCCTCTTATCTTTTATTGAGTCTAAATATTAGTGCAAATAACATGTTGAAGGACGTAGGGTTTTACCTCTACTAAGGACTGGTGCAATGGTCTCGTGCCCCCCTCCTTGAATCTATGATATGCGTCCCTCCACTCTACTAGTTCTAAATTTTCATAAGGTAGCCTTCATATAAAATACAAATTTTATTGTAACATAATTATGTGCAATAATGGATCATATTCAATATATAGGTGAACAATTCAATTAGAAAAATTGAAAATAAATACAATGTATCTAAATACAAATTAGAGACATGTCATAATAGATCATTCCATCTTAAATAAATCAACAATATTATGCAGTAATTTTTAATATCAACTTAAGATTTTTAAAAAAGTTTAATTTTAACACATTCAATATTATGTACCAAAAAAAAAACAAAAAATGATTTTTATATAATATTTTTTCGAGACTTGGCATGAGCAAAAACAAATTCACAGATTTGGACAAAAAAGAAAAAGACCCCAAAATGACGTCAAAGTCAGCAAAAATTTTCCATCCTTTAATAGTCAGATATGCTTAGTTTAATTTGTAATGCATATAAATATGGATAGAAAAAAGCAAATGTTTATAAGATAGCAAGGGTCACAAAGTACTGGCTGAGATTCCAAATCAAGTCCTCCCAATCCAGTTGTGGGGTTCAGGTGTAGCATGTGCCGGTCCTGCCTCTACCCACACAAAAGCAGATGTTCATGGTGTAGGCTGATAAACAATATTCACTTAAAGATTATGAATTCATTTTCAAGACAAATTTTATTTTATTTTTTAATCATTTCTCCCCAAGCAAAGCAATAAAGCCACTAAGATGCAAGTGGTTACTGAAGGTTAAAATTAATTTTAAAAATATATTTTTTATTTTAGCAAAAGAATTATTACTATGCTTAAGGCTCCTTACAATATTTACAAATGGTCACCCAAGTAAGTACTAAATAGGAGAACCAATGGTTCATTTTTGGTCATCTGGTAGGAACAATGTGATATTTAGAAATTTTACTCAGTCAACTCAATAAAATTCTAATGATAAAAATACCCACTTAAAAAGAAAATAATAATTTGATTATTTGCGACAAAAAAGTTACACTATTTAAAAAATTTCACATAACCCAGTGATAGTCAGCTTGTATTTCTGAAAATGGATAGTCCCCTAGTGTCTACCTTGTATGTCAACTGAGCTGCACAACACATGCTACACACCCTCACTGAGTCAGGAGAATAGTCGGAGGGAGCAAAAGAAACCAGTTGTCAACTAAGAATTATGAGTACTTTAAAAATATTGGGGGTGACAAAACACTTCATGTGTCTAGCGCAGGGTTAATAAAAAAAAAAAGGATTTAATTTATGAACACCTTATCCAGAAGAATACATCAAGAAAGGTACAAGGTCGATAAATTTTAGGAGAATAAATCTGAATTATCAATACCTAGAATTGTAAATATATAATTCATATATTTTTTAGTCTGCATTCTAAAGCACATTGAGAACATGATGGGTTGAATTCAATTTAATTATCTACTTTAACCCATCATGTTCTCAATGTGCTTTAGAATGCAGACTAAAAAATATATGAACAGAGGGCTACAAATGAATGCTTATTTTACATTAGCACAAGGACATAACTATGGAAGCATCCAATGAAGATACCAGGAAAAAAAACACAAAGAAAAACAGAACAAGCAGATAAAAAGAATTAACAATGAAAAGCAACATTTTTGTATTTTCTTGAGAGGAATAAATTATCAAGACTGACAGCAGATTTTGAAATATAAAAGAACATTCTGCAATATGAAGAATGAGCATCTGTGCTCCTCTGCAAATGTAAATAAATGTAGTGGTCTCTTCTACTCCAATAGATTCATGTCTCGCACTTCTCGCCTGTGGAACTCCCTCCCCTTTTCCTGTTTCCCTGATAGCTATAATCTCCAACTATTCAAATGTAATGTCAATCGACACCTCCAGATGTCTTGATCTATCCCCTATCCTTCTCTTCATCCTTTCCTCTATCACTCCTATTTGCTCTCGCTCCAACTCTCTGTAACCCCTTATGTGCTAGTGGCTTCCCGTCTTGCTTGGGGTGAAACACTTAAAAAAAAATATACAGATAGATTGTCCCCCAAGTCTACCCACAACTAACAACACAATAAGTGAAATGGACATTTTTGTTGATGGGAGCCAAGGAATGACAACCGATGTTTGAATAATGAATATTGCCACTAAAGTGATAATGGAAAAGAGTAATCATCTATCAAGTTTGAGGACATTAAATATTATTAACGACATGTTGGTTATTTCAAAAAGGTCTGGCTCCAGTCCCAGTGATAAGCATATGAAGTTTTATAAGGAAGTACTTTTATTTTGTAAAACAGAATTTAATAATTATGCTAAAATAAAGTCACAACAGAAAAATATTGTTTTTCATTGAATTAAAGCATCAGTTCATAAGTTCAAAATATCTACTTAAGTTGTGTACATATGCATATGAATAAAGCCAAAAGGAAAACTTATCTTAGCTGACATATTTGGTCCTCTGGAATTTATCATCATTATCAGGTGGAACTGGCAAGACATTTATCATCAACATATTTCTGGCTAAACTGCGCTAGATGAAGCATATTGTGTCAAGTGGAATAGCTGCAACCCTGCTAAGTGGTGGCTGCACAGCTCATTTGTGCTTCAAACTTCCTTTGGAACTGCTCAAGAAAGAGAAAGCAATCTGCAATATCAATCATGGTTCTATAAAAGCAAACTTCTCAGTGATTGCAAATTGATCATTTGGGATGAGGTGACAATGAGCCATAAAGGTTTCTTTGAGGCTCTTGACACAGCACTTTAGGATCTTAGACACAACACATGGCTCATGGGAGTTGCAACAGTCTTGCTTGTGGGAGACTTTAGATAAACCCTTCCAGTGATTCTGAAAGAGCCAAGAGCTGACAAGGTAAATGCCAGTATAAAGTCTTCCTACCTGTGGAGCAGTGTGAAAAAGCTGAGCCTCACAACCAACATGAGAGTGCAGCTCAGTGATGATGAGGAAGCTGGTACATTTTCTAAGCAACTATTGGATGTTGGTAATGGCACTTTGGTTGGTAGATCAATTTGCCTTTTGGACATATAGTATCTGATTTAAAGGAACTAATGACTAGGGTGTTTCTTAACCTGAGAAATCAGTTAACAGACCACAAATGACTGAGAACCAGTGCCATTTTAGCTCCAAAGAATGTGGCAATTGATGAGTTGAACATCAACCTTCTGGAACAGTTGCCAGATGATCATCGCAGCTACAATTCCATTGATGCTGCACTAAACACTGATGAAGCTGTGAATTATCCAGTTGAATTTTTGAATAGTCTAACAACAGCAGACCTCACAATTTTCACCCCAAGATTGGAGCACCAGTGATGCTGCTAAGAAACCTGGATCCATCAACACTTTGCAATGGCACACAACTTACAATGAAGATGATGATGCCAACAGCCTTGGAGGCAACAATGTTGATTGGCAAAGCAAGCAGTGAGGCTGTATTTATTCCTAAAATTCCACTTATTCCCTCAGATATGTCTTTCCAGTTCAAGTGGCAGCAATTCCTGGTGAAACTGAGTTTTGCAATCAGCATTAACAAAACTCAGGGGCAGTCCTTGGATGTGGTAGGCCTTAACCCTGCAGAACTGGTTTTCTCTCATAGCCAGCTTTAAGTGGGATGTTCAAGAGTCAGCAATCCCAATCATTTGTTTATTTATACCCCACACGGAAAGACCAAAAATGTTGTTTATCAAGAGGCTCTGCAAACTTGATAAAATTGCATCAAATCTAATGACAGTTTCCCCTGGGGACACAGGTTTGAATCCTGCTGGATTTAATTCATTTCCTGTATATATATATATATATATATATATATATATATATATATATATATATATATATATATATATATATGGATTAATACAAATATAAAATTCGTCAGCTGACTGATGTTATCTTCAGCATTCTGAATCTAGAGTTTTGTAGATGTATCCTCCAGCAATCACTCCATCCAGTCCTCAGAGGATATCAGCAATAAACAGTTGTAATCAGATAATTTATTTTGATTGATTATTTTTCTACAGTTTATCAATCTTTTGCATGTTATTTAAAGCCAGAAAGTATTTTTAGATTGTAAGAATTTAAGGGAGATAATAATATTTTAACACATTTTAACATACATTTTCCAAGGTTATTTGTGCATATTTGAATATAATGAAACCAAGTGAGCTGAATTCCAATTCAGAGTTGTTATCTATTACACCACCAGCACATCCAAGCTTACAGCACTGGATATTCCCAAGCAGTCACCCATCTAGGTACTGACCAGGGCCAATGTTCCTTAACTTTGGTGATCGTATGAGAATTGGTGTTTCAACATGATCTGGCCATAAGCCCTATCAGATAATTTAGAAAATAAAGAACTATGCTAGTGATCATTATATATATATATATATATAAAATGAGAACGAACAGAGTCCAATTCCGATGTTCGCAACATTCAATTTAAAAGAGGGCTCAATACAAAATTAGAGCAATATTCTTTATTTTAGGATATTATATAAAAACATGTAAAAAAAAAACTTCTACAACAAATATGGTGTTAATATGTATTTAATAATAAATAGATGTTTATTAAAAACACAATAATTAATTAGTTAATTAAAAAAAGCTACAACAAATATGGTATTAATATGTGTTTAATAATAAATAGGTGTTAATATGCATATGCATTGAAACATGATTGCATTTGTGTAGTGTTTTTTTACATGTTTTTGATGTAATATCCTAAAATGAAGTGTATATATATATATATATATATATATATATATATATATATATCAGTTAAATCCACTACCTTGGTTTCAACCTTACAGCATTCTCAGACAACTTTTATCAAATGACCTCTTAATGTCTTATTTTTTAAAAGAATGCTCTATCATTTTTTTATTAAATAAATAAACAAATGCATGATGTTGGGTGCAATAGAAAGGGAGGAGGAGGATGTGAAGGAAGAAGAAGGGGGAAGAGAAGAAAAGCGCAGGTATTAGAAATGTATCACTGGGGGCGTTAACTGAAATGTACATTTTTTTTTTAATCCAGTCTCATATGTACTTAAGAGATATTTCTTAATATGTATGCAAGGACTCAAAGCTTCGAATTTCTAGTTCAAAAGGCTCTTTGGATCCGGAAATGTCATAATTGCTAATTTTTCCTGTTGGCAGAGGTTGCAAATATTGTTGTGGCTGTTATAAGGCTATGTTATAAAGTGTTAGGTCATTTGATAAAAATTGCTTGAGGATGTTGTAAGGTTGAAACCAAGGTAGTGGATTCAACTGATCTCTTGGTTTTTAAAGTTAAAAATGCTACATGTTATTTTTACTCTTATTTTATTTTTTTTTACATGTGTATTGAGCACTTTTTAATATCTGTTTCCTGGTCTGATCCAACTCTGACCATTAACCTTTTATGTAATTATATATATATATATATATATATATATATATATATATATATAAATTGTGTATTTGAGCAGCAATCTCTCTTTTATACAAGTTTCGTTAAAAATGAGTGACAAGGTACTGTGGGTAAGTTTTTTTTTATTTAATTTATCTTGTGTTCCATAATTTTTTTTTCTTTTCTGGATGTAAATTATGTAGAAAATGTCCAAATGTTCTGTATATCCAAGCACTTTCTGCTATACTTTTAGCCATTATCAAGGATGATTTCATTTTTCTTTTATCTGAATGTATGGATCATATTATGCATGTATCTAGAGTTATAGGAATGTTTTTTTTTTTTTTCTCCGAACACGGTCAGTACATTGTGGCCATGTTCATAGCTGATGTTATTGAGTGTTGGCTTTTTCTTTTTTTATTAATAAAGTTTCCATTATTTTTAGACTTTTTCTTTTACATGTGGTTGAGTCTATTATATTTGGATTATCAACGATTATATTGTGGATGGAGTTGGTTAGGTCTCCATGTGTATTTAAATGAGACCTAATTGAGCTTTATATAAAAAGGGCTAAAAAGTAAAATTAAAAACAAAAATGCTCACTCACCTCTAAAAAGTAAAAACAAAACATTCCACTTAACTTCACTTCAAATATACATCCTCCATAATTTGATTATAATTATATTAAACATTTTATTAAAAAAAATCTTTTGACAGTTCAGCTGGTTCAGACTGTTTCTGCAATTTAAACATATATGTATGTATGTGTGTAAAATTTCAGATATGACTAAAAATATATATCTGTAAAAGGACAATCTGAATAAAGACAAAAGGAAAATTTATCTTGGATGAAATGCTTTGGCTAAGTTTTCTTTTGTCACACACACACACACACATATATATATATATATATATATATATATATATATATATATATATATATATATATATATATATACAGGGGTTGGACAAAATAATGGAAACACCAAGAATCTTAGTATCATAATTTTGAAACTCCTATAAAACCAAATGTTTGTTATTTTTATGTTTTTTGATTTAATTTTTGTTTTATTTTACTAAATATTTTTTTACAGATATCATCAGAGGAAATTAGTCTAAATTCATTAAAAAAATGGCAGATCTCTCAGCCTTTAAATTGTTGGTGCTCATATAGCAGGTGCTAGTGTAACAAAAACCTCTGAATTATTTCGTGTAACAAGGATTACTGTCTCAAAAGTAATGACAGCATTTGAGAAAGAAAGAAAAACCTCCTGACCGAAGCAAAACTCTGGAAGAAAGTGAAAGCTGTCTGATAGTGACCGTCAGACTCTTATGTGGATTGTTAGGAAGGATCCCAAGAATACAGCTCCAAAAATTGCAGCAGAGCTTAATGACCATCTTGAGAACCCAGTTTCCTCAAAAACTGTAAGGGGGGGGGGGCTGCACAAAGTTTCTTGTTTCTCATGCAGGTCATCCTTTACCTTATTTCTGACATCTGGTTGAGTATATGTGTGGAGACAGTCTAAAGAAACACTGGATTCAGACTGTCTTCTTCCAAGTGTTAAACATGGAGGAGACTCTGTGATGATCTGGGGGGAGTTATATCTTGAAAATCTGCTGGCCCAATGGTTTCTCTTCATGGCAGGATCAAAAGTCAAGACTATTTAAAAATTTTATCAGATCAAATTCATCCTATGGTTGTGGAACTGTCTCTGGAGGGAAACACAATCTTTCAGAATGATAATGCACCAATTTACACAGCTAAAGTTGTGTCTGAGTGGCATGAAGAACATTCTTGTGAAGTAGACCATCTTATCTGGCTACCACAGTCACTAGATCTGAATATTATTGAAAATTTATGGTGCATTTTAGAAAAATAAGTAAGGAGTCGGTGTCCTCCACCATCATCACTGAAAGAACTTGAGACAGTTTTGGCAGAAGAATGGACAAAAATTCCTCTGCAAACCATTCAAACTTTGTACGAGTTAATACCTCGTTGAATTCAAGCTGTAATTAATGCCAAAGGTGGTCCTACACCATATTAAAATAAATTTGTTTGAAGTTGAAGTTTCCAGGTCTTTCCATTATTTTCATTATTTTATCCAACCCCTATATATATATATATATATATATATATATATATATATAGAGAGAGAGAGAGAGAGAGAGAGAGATACATACATCATTTTTACTGAGTTCACATGTTTGAGTTGTTATCACTTTCTTTTTATTTTCTTAGGTCAATTATCATTCATTTCACTGCATAGGAAAATAAAAAATAAGTATAGCAATGTGTATCCACTAAAAATAACATTTATAGTAATATATATATATATATATATATATATATATGCTCATATATACATACATATATATAAATAAATATATAATATTGCACATTGAGTGCTGGTGTTAATAAAAGAGTGCTCAATGTAATATAACAGAGCTATAAATTATATATTAATAAATATACACTTTTTTCCTTACTGTTAGCACAACAGAGTTTCATGCACAATGCAATCATCAGGTGCTGAATTGAGACTCAATTCAATTCAGTATACCATCTGAAGATTGCATTGTTCATGAATCTCCAAGTTGTGCTACTAGTGAGGAAAAAGATGTGTATTTATTAATATGTAATTTATAGCTTTGTTAAATTTACATTGTCTTTACAGAAATATTTTATCTATATCTGAACATTTACGCACACACTGAAGTTATTAACAACAGCTATATTTAATTTCTGATAATTAACAATTTTATTAAGAAACATTATTTTAGGATTAATAGATGGAAGATATTTTTATACATGACAGAGTTCTGTGCTTATAAAATATGTATTCATTTTTGGGAAATTTTCATGTATATACAAAAGCATACACACTTTTTTAAATGCACAAATCAAACAATTCATAATCACAAATGAATAGAAAGACAGACAAATTTGAGCAGATGATCTTTTTCTTTTTTACAGTCTATTAACCCTTTGTGAGTTATTTAAAGTCAAACCATATTTTGGATTGTATGAGGTCACTCATAGTACTCGGTGTTTCCATATGGCGCCCCATCTAAGTACTGACCTGGCTTGACATTGCTACATTTGGCGATCAAATGAGAACTGGTTTTTTTTCAGTGTGATTTGACCATATTGAGCTGATGAGTTTTCTTTTGACAAACAATATTCAATCTGCAGCAAGTTGAAGAAATTTTGAGGGAAAGGAAGACATTTTTTTTTTTTACTATGTATCATATTTCAAAGAGTGTATTATCTAAAATGTTCAACAGCATTCATATTTTTTGAAAGATCAAAAGAAAAGAATAAAAATGAATTTTTGAGCACATTGCTGAATTTTTATGACCAAAGCTTGAAAAAAGAAAAAAAAAAAAGAAAAAATGAAATTACATGATTTTATTTGGACTGTACACTCATCCAAATGAAAAACTTTTGGGTATACTTTGATATTTGACAATTTTTTTTTCATGTTTGGAAGTCAATGTTTCATGTATATTTTAACAAAATGGATGAAATTATTTAATTTTAAGAAGTCTGAAAAATTGGCAGAAAATTTACATTCATGTTGGTTAATCATTTGATTGATTCATTCATTTTCTACTGTTTATCAATACTTTGTAGGTTATTTAAAGCCAGAAGATGTTTTTACATTATAAGAATTTTTTTTGAGATAATAGTCATTTAGTGATACAAGTCTTACTAATTAACCTGTAGCTGGAGGGAGAATAAGTGGATTCATACCTTTCCCAAGGGTATTTATGCACAAGCAAATATAACAAACCCAACTGGAATTGGAACTCAGCTCTCCGATTAACAATTCCAAGCCATTATCGATAATATCACCCACATATCCAAGTTTACAGCACCTGTTATTCCTAAGCGTTTGAACCAGGCTTGATGTTGTTTAACTTTGGTGAGGACTG